AACGTGTTTAATCTGCAGGACCATTCACAATGTCAATAAGACTGCTAATTAGATAATTATCAAATATGTTACCAATTAACAAATACCAAATTATCAAACTTTAACTCAACCCATGTACTTGTTTATTCTAAATAACTATACTTAGTACTATTGAACTGAATAACTACACTCATAACTAACAACTAATTAATAACTAATTAATGTCTTATTAATTAACTTTCTTTCATTAACTAATTCAGTATTGTGCATAGGGTAGTACTTGTTAAACTTTATTTCACAGTAACATCTCGCTATATAAAGTCTTTCCCAAGTCCTGAATCGCTGTCCCACGTGTTCGTGGTCACATGACCATTTTTGTCACATGACACGAATACCACACTGTGCACGAAAAATGAACTGTAAGTAAAATATGAATTAATTTTCTTGCTCCAATAAGAATGAATAGTTTCAAAGTTGCTCACCATCTGCTGTTCTGTGACGCTTGGTAAGATCTACCATGAGTCACCATGACATATCATTGTACCACCGTGAAGCATGGGGACCACATGCTATTATTTATTTTCCAAACTTTTAAATCAAAGAGTTTCTTGAAGTGATTTCATGCTGTTCACGTTGTGAGAATGTCTGTTAAAGAAAGACCTCCCTGCTAAAAACAACATGAAACTTGTAGGACTCCAATAAAACTCTCAATGAGATAGGAAACCATTTCTTATAAACACGTTTGTTTTTCAGCGTGGCAAACTGTTGGTTCTCAGCGTGGGTAGTGGTCTCGAAATACACTTCCTTTCTGGTAGATTCTCACTAGTCTAAACTTCAAAATTTTGTTGGCTTCTTGCTGGTCAGCACTGTTTTGAAACACACGCCCTTTGTGGTAGATTCTCATTCGTCTAAACTTCAAACTTTGGTTCTCAGTGTAGGTAGTGGTCTTGAAATACACTTCCTTTCTGGTAGATTCTTACTAGTCTGAACTTCAAACTTTTGCTCGTCAGCACTGTTCTGAAATACACGCCCTTTGTGGTAGATTCTCACTGGCCTAAGCTTTAAACTGTTCAGTCCCTCATACCCTTTGTGGTAGATTCTCACTACCCTAAGCTTCAAAGAACTGTTGGTTCCCACACATTTTTGGGGGCAGATTCTAAAATTCAAACTAAACCTCAAATTTTTACTGAGTTCTTACTCGAAAGCAATATTTTTGAATACACGTTCTTTGTGATAAAATCGTCCCGACTTTTCTCAAATATCTCATGGACAGGGATTATCAAAAATAGAAATTTTGTTTGTTATCATTTGAAAATTTGCTCCAGGGAGAGCCAGGAAATTCTCTCCAGCCAAGTGCGGTTGGATGTAAAATTATATTGTATTGTTACAAGAGACAGTTAAGATTGCATGAACTACCAGACATAAACAATAAGTCTGGCAGACGATTGAAATAGAAAATAATTTTGGAGAAAGTTTTGAAGAAAACTGAGAGTGATCAATGAATGATATCATACGAAATTACGAGAATGACGTCACCAGGATTAGGCCTTATTTAGGGTTAAGATTTAAGATTAGGATTAAGATTGTTCTTCACGTTGTCAATATGGATCAGCCTTATTGGACAAAAAAACTTATAGATTATATACAAGGTGGGGTTAGTGCAAACGGGAAAACGATACCCATGCAAGGCACAACCCCTAAATAAAAGTATGACTAGATTCCAAGGAAAAAGAATAAGAAGAAAATCTATTTACAGTAAATATATACATAATGCAGTTATGTTCGCAAGCGATCTTACCTTCAAATTTCACAATTTAGAAACCTTATCCTAGGTATCAGAGCTCAGATAATCATAAGATCATGTGCTTGAAAATCCAATTAAAAATGAACTCCAAAGGTTATCCCAATAGATACAATTTCACACAAATATACACCATAAGTAAACCCAGATATAGCCCACCAGTTTATACCTTGTTAAAATCCATTCATCCTTTGAATAAATGTTCTGCAACTACATAAAAGATATAGCGGCTGTATTCTGCCCAAACTGCAAGCATCATGCAGCGACTGTATTAGCAATGAATTGAATTGTACAACACACATGACATCATTGCAAAACAAAGACGAGGAATCGTCCACTTTATAAAGGTTTGGAACCGACTGTACAAATTATCTGTGCATAAGGTATGACATGGCGTTTTTCTTGCCTTTTAAATGTGAAAATATTACTAATATTCCACGCCTTTTGTACATTAATTAGCCCAATAACTATCGTAGAACAATAGTATAATAACCATGAATGCATTTGTGTCAATCACTTCACAGATGACCAATAAACCATACGATTTCGAGCAAAAAATAAAGATCAAAGGCTGCAGATCTTGGCCAGTATACTGTATGACTGCCTAGCACAACTGGTCCAAATCTTGTTTCGGCTAAACCATTTATCTTACTGATAATATTGTATCATAACACGTTACGTAAACGAAGTTTTGTTGAGTTAAATGTGGAGCAAGCGTTCTTGTCAATAAACTTCGTTTATATATGTGAATAAAATAACATGGAAAGAAAATTGAACTAAAAGGCTTTGCTTCATTACAGCGTCCCGGCGTATTTTCTCAATAAACTAAGTCGGGAACTTGTTTGTTGTTTGTGTATACTAATTAGAATAACTCATAACTCCGTTTATTTTTACCGTAAGGGTTGAACCGGTACAGTATTCTCATTAATAATTGATGATGAAAAAACGAGAGAAATTTTGACCGTCAGGGAGTTTGGGTATCTGATACGAAATCCTGCTGTGTTTAGAATTAACTTTAAGTTCATTTTCTCACAAAATATCACTATTGATATTTTTAAGATTATTGTAAGAATATGAACGTTTTCATCCAGCCAAATCATGTACAGGCTATATATACAGTATGTTGTATAAGAGATACGACACGTCGTGTTTGTCTATATACCAAGCCCTCATGACCGCTTATAACAACAAAATGTGGAAAAACTCTCTTGGAAAACACCAATTTTTTTTTGTAAAACATTTGATCCCTGAGCCCAGATCTTAGTAATTTATACGAGCAGACTACGAAAACAAATCCTGTATCAGTTAGGAACTATACGTGTTCACATGGAGAATGTTTTCTTATTGTTTCACTTAAATTTAAAACTTATGTCAATGTGGGGTGGCATTTCGCCATTTCTCACGCTGATATATAGCCAAGTAGATAGAAAAAGAATTTCGTACTAAAATAACACACGGAAATCTTGCCTACTGTTCACGAATTTTAACATAATGCGCGCGCATCTCGACAATTCACTAAATTGTTCAAGCTGCAGTTACCAGAGCGGGAAAATAATTATTTTCTTTATGTTGGAGGCAAATCAATATAATTGAGAGATTTAGTTTAATTTAACTGCTTGTGTATGAAGTGTGAACATTTTTGACCACCATGGGTATATAACACTCAGAATGAAGCAAAATACTGTATGTGAGCTTAAGATAGTTCAACCTACCGCATCTCCAGGAAACTGCTAGTTAACAACGTTTAGTATAAGCCACGCTGTAATAGGATTTTACTGTGCTGACCTCTTCCTTTTTAACTGGATTAAGATTTTGTTAAATTTCCGGATCTTTTCGCCGTCTAGGAATCACAGTATTTGAAAAATGACAAGGTGTGATGTACTTGTACTTCATACCTCGGTGGGTCTCAATAAGCGTTGCAGAACATGGCGATCAACTGACTTGATCTCTCGACGTTTTACCACCAAATACAAGTTAGACTATCACAAGCATTAAACGTTACTTTCTCACTCTAATAACTGCTAGTTGACCACCATCTGCGGCGCAATAGTGCTTTGTGATCGCACGAATGAAACAAAGCCGAATGATATAGCTGTTAGGGCTTTTATTGCTGTTGGTCGTAATCCATGGAAGCTAATGTGCTTTTACAACATGTTCCGTCAAGGATTACAACTCAAAATCCACGGAGTCGCCTTCCGGCAACTTCCGAATAGAAAATTTTAGCGAAGTTTATTTTGAAGTTAAGCAAACAAACGTGTAATTGCATGCAAAGGTTTTAAACGATACATAGGCGGATTTCATGAATACAGTATTGATTGCAAGATTCGAGAAATCCTTGTATGATTTCACGTTTAGGAAAATGAGTGCTTTAGTTTATATCAAATATCTATAATCCTTTGTAAAATAAACCCATGTAACTTGTCTGTGTCAATAGAAAACAGTTTATTTAAGAGCAAAATACGTTTAGTCATTATAATCCATCTCTGTGATCATGTAGCGCACGATCCAACACAAACTAATAGCTCCAGTTAAATGAATTCCGTCTTCTAGACCAACTGACTGAATTGTCTCTGCCTGTCTTTGGTCTGTCTCATTTTCGAGCGAAAAGTATGGCAACATTCATTATACGTGCAACTTACATGACCTTCAAAGAAGAAGCGTCTAATTTAAACATAGTCAGACTATACTTGCTTTTGTGATGATTTCTCCAACGTGGTGGTCCAGTGCATGTAGGTAGTATTCTACAATAAGCTGTCGTGGTTTGTGTCTGAACTACCTGAAAAAGATATCTCAAACGTGGTGGTCCAGTGTAGGTAGTATTCTACAATAAGCTGTCGTGGTTTGTGTGTAAACTACCTGAAAAATATATCTCCAACGTAGTGGTCCAGTGTAGGTTGTATTCTACCATAAGCTGCCATGGTTTGTATCTGAACTATCTCATAGATATCTCAAACGTGGTGGTTCATTGTAGGTAGTATTCTATAGTTGGTAGTATTGTACAATAAGCTGTCGTGGTTTGTGTCTGAATTACTTGCACTTTAATTGTAAAAGAAAAAATACTTTGACGTTTCCAGGGAAGGATCTTCAGTAAAAATGTAACATTCTTTCACCAAGTTCAGACACCAACCTCGAGAACTTATTCTTTGCTTCATTAATTAATTGATTGTTCTCTTGTACTACGCAATATTAAATTTATTACTTCAATTTCCCCAAACGTCTTATTTAAATTTACCTTTAGTCTATAATGGAATATCTTTACACTTAGATCTTAGTTAAAGCAAGACTATTTTCCACTTCATCAAATCATCACACGGAAATGTATTTCTTTAATTGTGTCCTGAGCACTGTAGGTTGGAACTAACGACAATTTTTTAAAATGCATTTGAAGTGGAAAAGAGCCCGCCAAGGCCATAAAGCAGCTAGTACATGCCTGAACTGCATACGACATATTTTAAAACTTATTATATCCAACTTATTTATACAATATTACGACCGTACTATGAAGGAAGTTTAATACAATGTCTTCACCTGACATATGAATAGATTAAAGTTCAAGACCATGAACAATTCCCGAATGGTGGACGTGCAGTAAAAATGTTTGTTCCTGTATGTTCTGTTCTTGGTGGAGTGAAACCATTCCACTGGCCTTCATTTGATGAACAAACCTTTGAAACATTCTGTCCTTCTCTTGCCAAACACCTTTGATTTTCTTCAAACGTCGTGTACTCAGAAGGAAATGGCGGTTGAAAGTTGTTTGCGTGATTTCTTACGTATCTTTCTGTGTATTGTTTAGGATGTCTGTTCATGTCTTCTTCGTAATATGGAGCAGTTCTCGCAGGAACATTGCACGGGGCGCTTCTTGCTGGGTTCAGAGGTGAGGAAATTTGTGGATTAGAATACATTTCTTCAGCGACGGCAGGATAACCCGAAAACAACCTTGGCTTATCTTTGCCATGATTGGAATTAAAATTTAATGTTGGATTATGAATTGGGCGGTAGTTGGGATTCTGTTGCGATTGATAGCCGCGCCAGTTTGAATCAGTAAGGTTAGGATTGTTTGGTGAGGTTATATTGTGAGCTGGGATGGTTTGATCCGTCCTGCTACATTGAGGTGGGAAACGACTTTCACAAGGAGAAACATCATTCCTCTGTTCTGTTTGAAATGGAAACTCTTCTTGTCGCCTGAAAGGGTCGTTGACTTGCTCAACTTGATGTTCCAAGTTAAGAGGAAAATATCCTGAAGGAATATTTGTATTAATAACACTAGTTCGTTCATGAGTTGTTGGGGGCCAGCTTGCTATATTATCATGTGTTTGTCCCTGTGGACTTGTGTCTCTCTCTTGAGACGAACTCCTTGAAGTTTCACCAAAACTACTCTCAGAATCTTCCCGACTCTCTTTCTTCTTTTTAAATCGTTTCCGTCTTCGCAAGTAGCTGCCATTTTCAAACATGTTGTAGCTGTCAGGATCTAAGGACCAGTAAGAACCTTTTCCTGCTTTCTTGTCATCCCTGGGGACTTTAACAAAGCAATCATTCAAACTCAGGTTATGTCTGATTGAGTTCTGCCATCCATGACGGTTCTTCCTGTAATAAGGGAACCTTTCAATAATGAATTGGTAGATACCGTTCAAAGTTATCTTTTTATCAGGCTGGTTTTCAACTGCCATCGCTATCAAAGCAATGTAGCTATAGGGTGGCTTCACTTTGTCTTCATTCGCGCCAATACATTTACATGGTGACCAGAAATATTCTTGGGGTTGAGTGGGAACATATGGGAAATAGGAGTAATGTATTGCAGAACAGTTATGGCGACTTGTTCTACAATTGAAGTCAACTTGATTTGCCATGGTTGGGTTTGAAAATGCTCCCGTATCTTGTCCCTGCCCGTGTAGTTGGTAGTTCGCCATTTTTTTGAGATGTGATAATTTTTCTTTCTCGTCAAGTAGTCTTCGCTTTGTGATGTTCTGGAAAACTCAGTTACTGTCGCAGTTTATAACTGTCGCAATTAACAGCTATTTAAGAACACATTCATGAAGGATACCTCGCATTGTTTGAGAGCTGCCCATAAATTCCTGCCTAGTCTGTCTCACGGGCCACCCTGCTGCTCCAAGCGACTTCGTGTGTTGTCTTGACTGGCTGAAGAAAAGGTCAATAGCTCATTGTCAAACCGGACACCATCTCAAGTGATTACTTTGGCCTTTACTATATATTGAACATTTGCCCATATTTTCCACTGGCAACTCACAAAATGTCTTAACTGATATAGCAGACAAATGATAAAACAGTAATTTAGAAATAACTCCAAAAGAATATCTCACTGACAGTTGCCTTGACAACCGACGCCCAAAGATCATTAAGATCCTTGTATATATAATACTTATCTGGTTATGAAGAAAACTTATAAATAGTTTCTGTTAAAAAATTACCTCGAGTATCAGGGTGTATTTAATCCTCGAAATTCCTTCTGAAGGCTCGTTATTTTCAAATTGATATTTCAAGGTTATTTTTATCAAATCTTCAAATAAATATTTTCATATGCCAAAAATTTTTAGTGTGTCTAAGTGGCTTTATTCACTTTTAGAGAATGATTAATCTGTGAAGATGCTTCGGGATATTATAGGTAAGAAAACTTTAAAATTATGCAACTTTTGAAGAAGTGTCGTTTTTCTCAAAATACAAAACTCGTATGTACCATGAAACGAATTTACATTATTTCCGTACTCTCATAACTACAGGTTGATCAATATTTGCTGGATAATAGAGCTATAGTAAATTCACCACGAGAAAATAATAGTACGACGGCACTTACATCTGATCTAGTTGTACAAAATTCTCTTCACGCCTTTTCTTGAAGTAATCAATATTTTCAAAGAAACAGAGGAATCTCTTGTAGTTCAAAGATCAATAAGAGTATTTTAATCAAACAATTTTTCTTTTCTTCAGTTATTCACAACTAGGAGTAACTTGTTTTCTGCAATTTTTTACATGGTAAAAATTTCCCCTCACGACACCCTGCAATTTCATAACCTGTTGTGATGAACCGTCTCCCAGATTGTTTTTTTCTCGAAGAAATTCGTACGGAGTTCCATCGTGGGTGCTGCAACACATGAGCTTCTCTAAACTTGTCTTGCTGTTCACCCTGCTAGCTGGCTTTCTGCGACTTGCTGTTTCGCTTGCTTAAAAAACAAACACGAACCCCTAGAAGACAGAACACCAGCAAGAACACTTTGCTCCCTAACTCGCTGTTTATATAATGAAAAAATAAACATGGTTAACTATGGGTCACCAAAAAAAGGGCATGCAAGTTTCCATTTTAGCTGTTGTGACCATGCTCCCTCATATGTTCCAAAATCATACAACATCAATAATACTTAGTGAGAAAAATGAATGAGCAGGATTTTGGATCCGATATACATCTTTAATTTAATTGCGTTTTCGCCAATACTGTATGAAAGTTTATATGTCAAAATGTGCTTTAAAATTCTCCCGAGCCAAAACTTTCTGCATCATTATGCGTTTTGGACATTTCTAAGTCGGTCTATGACAAAAAAAATTTTTCCATCAGTCCAATATTTCCACTGCTTTACTTGACTCCGAAATCCGGGCAACAGGCAACCGTAGTCCAATTTATCAAGGGTGGGTTGTAGCGAAGTAGTTGTAGTTCGCTACTGTAGCGAACTACAATTTTCAAGTAGCCAGTAGTTTTTGACTACTTTTTTGAAACAGTAGTCGTAGCTATAGCGAACTACATTTTGCCTAAAAGTAGCCAACTAGTTGACTACTTTTCAAACAGCAAATTGCTATTCGCTACTTTTTAAAATTGTTAGCAACTTGATAGAATAGCATGATATTGAGACACGGTTTGCTTAAAATCAATACTCAATAGTCAATTTCCACTCCTGAACAATGTAGTGCTTACAAAAATGTTGCTTTGTGTTTACTGTTGCTACTGGTAAGTCGATTTGTTATAGATGGCCATAGAATACATTCCTGAGTTAGTAGATGCTCGGCCAAATATAGTAAAACTAAAAAATATAGCGTAGCGAAATAGCGAAATAGTTCACTACATTTTTTAAGCAGTAGCTGTACTCAGTAGCGAACTACTTTCGTTCAAAAGTAGCAGTAGTTGTAGCTGACTACATATTTTTGAAGTAGCTGTAGTTATAGCGAACCACAAAAATTTTGTAGTCAACCCACCCTTGCAATTTATATTGACTAGGGCGGGCAAGCATTCATTTGCATACGACTTCAGTGCTGTGAAAGCTATGTGAAAATGTGCTTTAAAATTCCCCTGAGCCAAACCTATCTCCGTTAATATGCGTTTTGAACTTTTCTAAGTCGATCTATGACGAAAAAATTTTTTCGATGCGCCAAAAATTTATTTGACTCAGAAATCCGGGCAACGGGCAAGCGTAGTGTAATTTATATTAATGGACGGGCAAGGAATCATTTGCATACAGCTCAGTGCTATGATAGCCATGTGAAAATGTGCTTTAAAATTTCCCTGAGCCAAACCTATCTCCGTTAATATGCGTTTTGAACCTTTCTAAGTCGATCTATGACGAAAAATTTTTTTCGATCTGCCAAAAATTTTCTAAGTGTCAAGCCTAGCTTTACTTGACTCCGAAATCCCGCGGGCAAGCGTAGTACAATTTATATTGACTAGGACGGGCAAGGAATCATTTGCATACAGCTCAGTGCTATGAAAGCCATGTGAAAATGTGCTTTAAAATTCCCATGAGCCAAACCTATCTCCGTTAATATGCGTTTTGAACCTTTCTAAGTCGATGATGACGAAAAAATTTTTTCGATGCGCCAAAAATTTATTTGACTCAGAAATCCGGCCAACGGGCAAGCGTAGTGTAATTTATATTAATGGACGGGCAAGCGTAGTGTAATTAGAGAGGTTAAGATACCCCGATTCCGGTTTACGGGTACGGGTGATATACACGTACCCGTACCCGTAAATCGGGGAATAACTTGTAACTTAAGAAATCCAAGATACTCCGGCGTGAGAAAACCGATCAAAGAATGGCAACTTTCGCTGTTGAGGTTCGCCATAAATTGTTGAAAACTTTGACCAGCATATGTGCATTATTTATTTGGGTAAGATGTTGAAAATTTGTACTATTCAAACGGCCCAAAAATAGTAAACAGAAAACACCCGTACCCGTTTGTCGTTTACGTGTAGACCCCGGTTTACCGCGGGGAAACGGGTAGAAATTACGGGTAAAATTGCTGACATCAGCAAAAATTGGTAAACAAAATGGCGATACTCGTACCCGTAAACCGGAACCGGGGTATCTTAACCTCTCTATTTATAGTAATCGGGACGGGCAAGGAATCATTTGCATACAGCTCAGTGCTATGATAGCCATGTGAAAATGGGCTTTAAAATTCTCATGAGCCAAACCTATCTCCGTTAATATGCGTTTTGAACCTTTCTAAGTCGATCTATGACGAAAAATTTTTTTCGATCAGCCAAAAATTTTCTAAGTGTCAAGCTTAGCTTTACTTGACTCCGAAATCCCGCGGGCGAGCGTAGTACAATTTATATTGACTAGGACGGGCAAGGAATCATTTGCATACAGCTCAGTGCTATGATAGCCATGTGAAAATGGGCTTTATAATTCCCATGAGCCAAACCTATCTCCGTTAATATGCGTTTTGAACCTTTCTAAGTCGATCTATGACGAAAAATTTTTTTCGATGCGCCAAAAATTTATTTGACTCAGAAATCCGGGCAACGGGCAAGCGTAGTGTAATTTATATTAATGGACGGGCAAGCGTAGTGTAATTTATAGTAATCGGGACGGGCAAGGAATCATTTGCATACAGCTCAGTGCTATGATAGCCATGTGAAAATGGGCTTT